AGCAAACAAACTTAGTGTTTACAGGAGGATTCTTGGGAGTATGGTGCACCAACCAAATGACACTCAGCATGTATGCGTACAGTGACTCAGTATCCAGACAACTAAGAATAGATCCGCTAGCTTGTAATTAATTAATCTGATCAATTATCAGAAATGAGGCCAACATCCCAGGTCAAACGATGACAACAATTATTTGAGTCATCTTCTGGTTAAACAAAAAAGGCGACTTCTACGTGCTATCTTATAGGGCTGGAGATTTGCAGATATCCGTTGTAAACATTTAAACGATATTCGGTTACCTATGTTGGAAACCATATTTCAACAGAGGTCTTTCAATTTTATCCAACAAATCAATGGAAATTGCAAATGTAAACAAATAATAATAACTGGTACCGGTTTCAAGGAACACGTTTTTTGTGACGTAAAAGACTATCAGATAGTGCTGTAGCGTTGCAGCGAGTTGAGTTTGAATCTCAGTGGAGATAACATCACTATCCGGAGTGTAGTTACACCCAGCTGACGAGTCCCAAGTATAACGAAATACATATGCTGTATACCGCTGCTAACCAACATCGAGTAAATCACGACATCTGCTTACAAACATGATGTACTTTGGTGTCATACCACTTTTTGGGGGATCGATTCGCCCTTCATAACAAAGCGATAGTCACTTGAAAAGTGAGCACTTTACTAGTGAACGTATAATGAACTGACTCCTAATGAATATCAGTCTTACATTTCTCCAGTAAAAAATATTTGGCTCTTAATATTTACAAGTTTGCTGCGCTCCTAACTGCACCTTATCAGTATTAAGAAAATATCTTTGAAGTATTTATTTCTGCTTTGCATGATAAACTGATTATCTCATATTTTGTCATTTTTATTCACTAAAATTTACTTTAAGCATTAGCAGCTTCACAAACTTCACTTTTTCCCAAATGATTATTTTTCCTGAATTAGTTTATTCGTATAAAGTATATTCTCCTCAATTTTTCTGCAACTTGAGGTTGTCTATTTCATCCTCTCTTAGAGTTGCTTTCTTCCATTTTCCGCTCACAAAGGAAAAGTAATCAAGGAATTATACCTTTTAGTAGATATCTTTGATTGCAGAATAAATTATAAAAAATCTTATGCAGAATAATAAGCTTTAAAGAAAAAGTAATGATTTCATCGGTAAAATACCTTTGACTGAAAAATTCATGGTCATATTTTTTACTGCTTTATTCAAACAGGTTGAGTAGTAAGTTTTATCTTGGTAATACTGTGGCCGTGTATCTTTCGCCGCTGTACACAACACTTCGAAATGAATAAATGAATTCAACTCTTATATTAATGTCTCGTATGCATTATATGTATAATAATGAAAACAAAATGTAGTCAGAATGCTAAAATACTTGAATAATATTTCTAAGGTGAACATAGATGTTTATCTTCAAATATTTGATAGTAATTTACCTTTGAAATAATCACTTAACATTTACTATTAGCGAATTTCATTAGCATACATGAGTATCACCATTACCATCTATGTTTTATGGTCAGAAACCCTAATGAACATGCGAAATATCGAGGAGACATACTAATGAGTAACCGGAATTTATCTTCTTGTGACCGCTAATATCAAACTATTTGTTAGCAAGTCAAACGATAAAACATGTTACATTGATCTCCTCTTGCTATCCAGAGGTTTAAGCTTTAATGGATTGTGTTGGAAAAACCATAATGAGAAACAACTGTTTTAATCATAGGTTCATTTTCTCTACAGTGAGAAATTACTATTTCTCTTCTTAAAACTGCTACCACTACTAATATTGAACCTAATACTCATATTTTAGGGATTGTAAATTATGGATCACTTTTTCTAAGGCATATGTTTTAGTAGAGTTAAAATATAAACCATTGGAGGCATATCACTTCATGATTAAACCAACCGTGATATAAATAAACTTGCGTTCGTCACTTCTTCATTCAATAGATTTCTTGAAGTTTGGTTGTTCTGGCGAAAACGTCTTATTATCTAGAAGTGTACGGTTTATGACATTCACTTTCTGAAACAAGCACTTTGTACTTAAGTTACACTTCGAATTGAGTGGTTAATATTCTATGATTTAAGCTTTGCATGAAATATTAAAATTACCTGCAGTTGTTGCGTAATGTCATCTGGATTTCCCTACTAACTTATCCAGCTCTGATATGTAACCCAGGCATTTGTTGCCCTTCAGTTATTGCCTCCACATATATCATACAATCCTCTAGGCAAGACTATCCAAAAAAAGTTATATTAAAACGTAATAGAGTTGCATAATCTATGACAAACTCGTTGAACTTCATTTTATTACTAAATGAAAAGTAAATCTAACACTTTTCGCGCTATTAAAAAGCTCCCAGCTGTATAGTCATGATATTGGTGTTAAATTTAGTTTTTTTTCATTGGATTTTAAAAAAATCATACAACCCTTTTGTGAAAATACTTGATATTGGTTAAAATCTTAAGGTTAATTGGTGAATGTTATTATTTTACAGGAAGTACAGTGGGAGAAAAAAAGTAGTATGTACCTCCGCAAACTGCTGCATTCTTGAAAAGTAAACTACCCGTGTTCATAGTCCGAGAAAGCATACTTGTTTTATTAATAGTTAGTTTCATGCGAATGATACACATCCACTATACGTAAATACATTCACTTGCCTATTCTTTAATTGCCAACAAATATAGTTTTTATTCAGCTGGCGAATAGATAGAAAGATGCACCTAGTACACTTGGTGGAACCCATCTCCCCCTAGCTTTACCTCTTAATGTAACAGTACAATTGGATACATTTTAAAAATTTATAGCCAAAACATTACTTACCTAAAGCCAGCTAATAGACTATTTCTAATCCAGCAAAATAAAACCCAAGTGGGATATTTAACTACTAAAGCAATAACGAGCAGTTAAGAAAACAACAAAATTAAATTAACAACTATCCAATCAGGTGGGGCTTTTGAAATATTTCCGTGAGTTTTCATTGGACAGGTGTACGCAAACTGATTCAAGTTCTTTTGCATAATCATCTTAAGGTTACAAGAATCATAAGAATGTCCCTGTGGTCTGTTCACTTTAACCCAATAAAAACGAATAAACTTTTATCGACAACTTGTATTCTCTTTTTCATTTTATTAGGTTAACATTTTAATTTATTTTTCAACCGGTGATTCAGTTCAATCTAATTTTCCTCTACTCCCTTGAGGTTTTAAAAGTTGATCTAATGCGAACACGTAGTTTTGAAGATATAGACAAACTTTGATGTGAATTAGTCAAACCTATTGAAACAGAGAACAGATACTGTGTTAAATCGCTCATCTGTTTTTAAATAGGTTAAAATCAGTATACTGTATTAAATAACATGAAGAAAAGTAGCTTAAAAATCACATAGTTCGCATCTGCTTTCCTTCATCAGTCTGTTAGTTGTGATTTTTATTGAATTTGAGAAAGCATTCAAAATAACTTATCAACCCAGTCACAGTTATTTTCTAGCTTTAAAGTGTGTATAAATTTTATTGTCATCACTCAACCTAGATTCGATTATTAAATTCACTAGGCAAAATCTGCCACTGTTGACGATTTAATGACAGTGAGCTTACTTTCAAACTGGATAATTTATCACATTAAAAAAATTTAGTCAAAATTTAACTTATTACTTTTACAGGATCCCTCTCATTGTAGAGCTTTACAAACAATTTTAAACAAATCACATGTGAAATACATCAGAGGTGAAAGGAACTACTATACACACTTCGCGATAAAGAGCTCCTTTGCTTTTAATAGTCTCAAATAAGCACAACAGGTCTACTGGAAAAATCCAGATGCATTTTCGAAACGGATGGTCTCTGGGTTAACATTAGCTTAAGTAAATCGAACATGAGACCAAAAAAAGATATCCTTTCAGTTGTAGAAAAATGAAGCCACTTTTAGAATTATTGAGAGTTTTGTATTCTAAAAAACGCACAGTTTTTAAAGGAGTAAAACTGGAGCACTTTGGTTGGATGCAACTGCATCGCAGTTGATTTACTAGACCGATTACATAGTGAAACAGTATTGCTTGCTGAATTACGCTTCCAAAACACTTTATTGTCCATGGTCATTTGGAGATATATTACAATATCGTCATTATTATCATTAACACCATCTTAAAAATAAGCCACTATTGGTACTTACTTTTATGACAAGTGCTAACGACCGGCTATTGTTAACTTTTCGTCTAAGCTGTAGATACCCTTTCGCAGAATGCGCAGTGAAATAATGTAAGTTTGGTGATAATATTAAACTCAAGCAGCATGAGAAATCGAAAGAGAAAAGCAAGAGCAAACGAACTGTCTAACAAAAAATGTATCTACGTTTCATAATCAACGACAGTACAACGAAGTTGGTAATGTACAGCGAGAAGATAACTCCGAGGTTAACGTTCAAAGTTAAGTTAGTAAGGTTTTGAATGCAAAACAAAGACTCTGAGAAACAAAATTTTCTTCCAGAATTTGTTTTGCTAACGGAATATAAACTGTCTTATCAACCATGTAACATATCTGTAAACACGTCAGACGGTAGTTTGTTACACATGGGAACGTTCAGTACAAGTTTTGATGTCTTCCTTGATTAGGTTTGTCAGATTTTCCTTCTTGTATAAAATCTTCAGAATTTATCAAGTAACCCGAATTCTATGCATCCTGAAACTATTGACTGAATCCAGTACCTTTTGTTTTACATTATTAACTGACTTATAAGCTATTAGGCAGGACGTTTAAAATTTAATCTACCCTTAATGACGAATGACCTTAAAGGCCACTCTGGCTACTGCTAAATTAACCAATCAAACTTCAGACTGTCGACTGGGAAGATAGCTTTTCATGGAACAAGGACGTAATTGCCTGTCTGAACAATTGCTTTGGTGACCTTTAAAGTCACTTCTTAATGACGAGTGACTTTAAGACTGACTTTAAAGACCACCCTAGCAACAGGTGAAATAACCAATCAGACTAGTTTTTTTGTGAAAATCTCCCTTTCCTAACAAAATGAAGAAACCTAGTTGGTCATTTCGATAGTTGCTAGGGTGGCCTTTAAAGTCATTCTTAATGACACCTACAAATGACTGGTAATCTGATATACCACATATAAGTGCTTATTTAAACTGTTCTGAATGTAAATCGTCTTCTTTTTAAAATAGGAATTCAGTGTAACAAAACTGCGGTAGTTCATAGTTGTGTACTTTACTACACGAGTGTAACATCTGCTCCCTTTCAAATAGTAAGTCTATTAAAATGTCAGTATGCGAATAAAATTCGGTGAACTACATGAAACAAAAAGGATGTCATGAGAATACGTCATCTGCTCGAAAATTGTTGCCAGTCCTCTGTAGTGAGATTTGGTGATTCAGAAGGGTTGAAATTCCTGCTAGTACCATAAAATCTTGATCGATGGGATATTTATTGATATTTGAATCACCAATTATTACGAATGAATGTTTATTGAACTTGTTTTACACAGCTTGACTATACATGAGTATTTTTTCTTTTCAACTTCAATCACCATCCCATTTCTTCAGATCGGTCTGCTAGCCTAAGACCATCTGAAATAATCATATCAATGATGATTATATTAGCCTCTTATTCTGTCACATTATATTTGTTTACTAGGGACTGTGAGGTCGATCTTTTTTTCTGATATGTAGATTTCACTCTAATGTACCATCTACCTAGTTATTTTGGGCTATTGAGTCGTTATTATTGGTAAAATAGCTTTTAAAACAAAGATATATATATAGATAAATTAGGCTTAGATACAGAAAGCCATTTATAATCGGATGTGAAAATACTGTTACGATACGTCTTTTTTACTCTCAGAAATGCATATGAATATGTTAAGCCATCATAGCAAGTTAGCAAGATAGATAATAAATAATTTTTTAGTATCTAAGTGAGAACAAACCTCGCCTGGTTAACTAGTTTACTAGTTACTAGCCGGTCCTAAGCCCGGGTAAAGAGGGAAGGTTGGGCATAGGGCTAGCAACCCTACCCCGTAAAACAAATCTAACCGCTAAAGAAACTTCAAAGCACAAACAAAATATAAAAAATGAAAACAAACTTATTCCCCGCTGGAATCGGAGAGGCGAAATGACGCCAGTTGGTGAAAGCCTTCGGGAAGCCAATTGGCCGATGTGTCTTCTCTCGATGAAAGCGAAAGTAAACGTGGGGACATGGAATGTCCGTACGATGTTTGAACCCAGTAAGGCAGCCCAGATTGCAAAGGAGATGAGAAGGTATAACATAGAAGTGCTTGGAATTTGCGAAAGCAGATGGAATGGGAGTGGACTCTCCAAACTGTCAACTGGAGAATCAATAATCTACTCCGGTCACCCAGACGCCAACCACGAGCACACTGAGGGAGTGGCTATCATGATGTCCTCAAGAGCATCGAAGGCTCTCATGCAGTGGGAACCAATCTCCTCCAGGATCATGACAGCAAGATTCAACTCAAAAGGAAGGAAGGTCACAATCATACAATGTTATGCACCTACAAATAATGCAGAGCAAGAGAAAAAGGAGGAATTCTACAGACAACTTCAATCAACACTGGACAAGACGTCAGTTGGCGATATCAAAATTCTAATGGGCGACATGAATGCCAAACTGGGAGGTGACAACACAGGAAGAGAACTAACCATGGGTCGAGAGGCGCTAGGTGAAATGAATGAGAATGGAGAATTGTTTGCAGAATTCTGTGCATTCAACGATTTGGTGATTGGAGGCAGTGTGTTCAGGCACAAGGATATCCACAAAGCGACATGGACTTCACCAGATGGACACACTAAAAATCAAATCGACTTTATCTCAATCTCAAGAAAATGGAGACGCAGTCTACTTAACACAAGGTCAAGAAGAGGAGCAGATGTAGGTTCAGACCACTATCTAGTGCAAGGAACCTTCCAAATCAAGTTAAAAGCCTTCAAGGAAGCTGGTGATAGACCTCAATTCAAGTACAACACTAGGAAACTGAAGGATGAAACTACAAAGGAGATCTTCAAGGCAGCCATCAAGACAAAATGGGAGACATCGAGGGACATCCCTGAAGAAACCTGTGTGGAAGAACATTGGAAGTCTTTGAAAGCTATGTGGAAAGAAACCTGCACAACAGTATTAGGAAGGAAGAAGAAAGAAGACAAGGAATGGATCTCGACGGATACCTGGAAGCTGATAGAGGAGAGGAGGATGGTGAAGCAGAAGATAAACCAGTGCAAGGATGCTCAACGACAAGAGGAACTGAGTACAATGTATAAAACACTGGACAAAGAAGTGAAGAAGAGTGCACGCAAAGACAAAAGACACTTCTACGAAACACTGGCAAGTGAAGCAGAACAGGCTGCAGGTAAGAGAGACCTGACGACATTGTATCAAATAACCAGGTTGCTATCAGGGAAGAGACCAACACAGATGAAACCAATAAAAGATGATGAAGGGAATTTAATTACAAAAGAAGAGAAACAGAGGAAACGATGGGCCGACCACTTCAAGAAGCTCTTGAATCGACCACCACCTGCACTTCGTCCAGAAATACCACCTGCAGCCGCTGAATTACAAGTGAACATAAATCCCCCAACGAAAATGGAAGTCCTGAACGCCATAAAGCTACTGAAATGCGGGAAAGCAGCAGGACCAGATGGGATACCGCCAGAAGCACTGAGAACAGATGCAGAGACAACAGCGGACATGCTCACACCACTATTGCAGAAGGTGTGGAAGGAAGAGAAGGTACCGGACGATTGGAAGAAGGGTTACCTTGTCAAACTGCCGAAGAAGGGAGACCTCAGTGCTTGCAAGAACTGGCGCGGAATCACTCTCCTGTCCACCCCAAGTAAAATATTAAGCCGCATCATCCTGGAGAGGCTTAAAGACGCACTGGATTCAAAACTGCGACCGGAACAGGCAGGCTTCAGGAAGTACAAATCATGTGCTGACCAAATTGCAACACTTCGTATCATCATAGAACAGAGCGTAGAATGGCAATCAGCTCTCTACCTCAACTTCATCGACTTTGAGAAGGCCTTTGACAGCGTCGACCGAGAAGTAATTTGGAAACTGCTTCAATACTACGGAGTACCGCAAACCTTTATCCGCCTCATTCAACAACTATATGAAGATGCCACTTGCCAAGTAATCCACAATGGGAAGCTCAGTGATGCCTTTGAAGTGAAGACAGGAGTGAAACAAGGTTGCCTACTATCCCCCATGATATTCCTTATTGTGGTGGACTGGATCATGCAGCAAACAGTAGGCAGCGAGAAGAGGGGGATACACTGGACGACGGAAAAGAACCTAGAAGACTTGGATTTCGCCGATGACTTATGCCTAATGTCACATAAACTTGAAGATCTGCAGGCAAAAACTAACAAGTTGACAGAAGAGGCAGCCAAGACGGGACTTCAGGTGAATATAGAGAAGACAGAAGTGATGAAGATACCGCACCACCACCATCAACAACAACAACAAACTCCAATCACCGTCAACGGGAGAAACTTAAAGGAAGTAACCTCCTTCACTTATCTAGGAAGCATTGTTTCAACTACAGGCGGGACGGACGAGGACGTCAAAGTCAGAATCGGAAAAGCAAGACAGGCGTTCATTAGCCTGAAACCAGTGTGGAGATCTTCTGCACTCAGCATCTGGAACAAGATACGGATTTTCAACACCAACGTCAAGTCAGTGCTCTTGTATGGCTCAGAGACTTGGCGCGTCACGAAAGGGATTTCCAATAAACTACAGACATTCATCAACAACTGCTTACGCTCGCTGCTGAAGATCAGATGGCCAGAAAAAATAAGCAACAAGGAACTCTGGGAACGAACCAACCAAGAAGCTATCACGCAACAAATATGCAGGAGGAAGTGGAGATGGATTGGGCATGCACTGAGAAGGCCGACTGAGGACATCACGCGTCAGGCCCTCGAGTGGAATCCCCATGGGAAGCGACGAGTTGGACGTCCGAGGGTGACATGGAGGAGGTCATGCGAGGAGGAAATGAGAGCTTCTGGGCTGTCGTGGAACCAGGTTCAAAAGATCTCAGAGAACAGAGGTCACTGGAGGCGTGCTACTGAAGCCCTATGTTCCACTAGGAACCCAAGGGACTAATAATAATAATAATAATAAGTGAGAACAACAGAATATTTATATAACAGAAGTACCTAACTAAAGTTAAAAAGCCAGATCTGATGAACTTGTAAATTATAGTAGAAATTCTCAGATGAAAACCCTACACGACTGGATATGCATACCATAATGTAATGCAAGGAAAGATACAAACATATTGCAGCCTAAGGTAAAGAATAATTGGTAGCTTGCTAACGGTAACATATTTTGACAGGTCATGTGGTTTACAGTTTCAGAATACTGATTTCACTTTGTAAACCGATATTTGATCTGCAAGCGTCAACATGCTTTGGAATATCTTGTTATAATATGATACAGTTCACTTAGCTCGACAATATGTTTAAGGTAGACGGAACTTGCAATGAATAGTCAGACCTTATGCAGGTATATTGTTTAAAGTAGTAGTTTTAAATGACTGTATTCCTTCGGTCCGTTACTGATGTGGGTAACAGTGGTCTCACAATTGCGAATATTCAAGTACAGAGCTGTCATAAGGAATATAGGTTATTTTAGTTTGTCGAGATATACAACATTGAATGTAATGACTTCTTTACCTTTAGAAACGTAGGAATACTTAGTGTCACGAGTAGGGACAAGTCATTTAACCTTTGCGATTTAGCGGAATGTTGTTAGTAACGGGATGTATAATAATAATAATATGCATCTGTCTGTAAAACATCCTTTCCTGTGCTTTACAGAATAACAGTAGCCATTTTCCCCTCCCATCTGTAGTAAATCTAGTTTTTCTTTGTGCCATCTGTATGGTTATTTTCGATCCTGCTCTTGTTTTGGAATAAAACTAAGATTGCCAATTTCCGTAATTTAATTAAGTAAGTTTTTATTTGTATTTCATCTTTGTCACTGTGATATTTCTCACTTGTTTATGCCAGTTTCTTTTGACTTTACTCAGTACCTTTGTCCACAGCTTCGTTGTAACTGAGAGTAGGCTATTTATTCCTAATTTTCTGTTACCAGATCTGCTGCTTTTGTGTCGGAAGCCTGATTCCTACATGATGAAACTGTGCCCACGAATTGTCAGATTTCACCAACACTTTCGCTATTTTTGAATACCTTTGTAATAAACCAGAGAAACCGCAATTACCCATATGCAGTTCAAGTGGCATTGACTGGTTATTGATTATCATCTGCACATTTCATTATTGAATAGGTTGGTATATGTGATTGACTCCAACGCATTTTGTCATCGGTGGTACCTAAATTAAATACTGATCAAAGAAGTACTCATAAGTATGCATAAGAAAAGTAGACATTTGGGCAATTGAAATGCTCTAAACAACCATGTCTATGTTTGTGCATTAGGTGATACGCTAAACCTATTGTGTGAGATCCAATGATACTCTCTGTTTCGCCAAATATCAATAGATGGACTGGATTCACATCTGTAGCCCAACGATTTAAAGTTGAATATCGAGACGAATGAGCCACATCTAGGTTATTCAACAGAAGTACTTCTAACTATGAAAATTTAAGTGCAGACTAGAGTACATGGATTCCAGTTATCTAAGTGACGGGTAGTTAGTTGAATTTCTTTAAGGTAAGGATGAACATCCATTTAGAGGTAGCCATTTTACTAGATGTATGCTTCTCATCAACCAATTTAGAGGTCAGTTGCTAGTTTTGAATTTACATGTTTTTGACAATCTCTACCGAAAAAAATATCCGTTTTCTGGTTAGTGTCACAAAATATGATTATTTATAATTCTATACATCACACAGAAATGAAGGAAAAGTAATTTCTCAGAAAGGAATCCATCGACTGTTCATATATTCTATTGTATTTCCAAATGAACCTTAACATCTGGTAACTACTAAAGTTGTATCGCTTAAAGAAGCGCAACACTAATTTTATTCGCGAAAAAATTGCGCATTGTAGACATAATCAATTTACTATAAGTATATTTGTAATGAATATTTACACATAATGGTGTTATTTAGTTTTGATAATATTTCGAGCGAAATTACTAAACAAATAATTCCAAAATTTGGTGTGATCACGGATGGTAATGCTTATCCTGAAATTGTAAATCAGAAAAAAGCGTTTTTAACCACTTCTGAAGCATTTGCATTACAGTAGGGATACCAAACAAACTACTTATAAAGTTTAATCCATAGAAGACTGTTTATTGTCATCTCTGTTTCAGTTAGTCCATCGATTTCTGGATAATTTTAGGTCTTGCCTCAAGTTGATTCCCTATTATACTCTTTGGTTGTAATTACTGAAGAAAGAAAGGAAAAGCGTATTTGAACACATTTCAGTGAAGCTAAGTTGATTGTATTCTACCTAATATTACAAAATATTCAGAAACTCAGCAGCTTTTTCAACCATATTGTACACATTTAAATACTAATTCTTAAATTTGGTCTGTCTTCTAAAAATGTTATTGGCAACTCTGAAGTGGGAGATCAAGAAAACAGTTGTTGAATGTTTGCAGGATTTAAGTGACACTGTTATCTGCAAGTAAATTTATCAAACACTAATGCATACTAGACTTGTAAAATCGGTCATTGAAGCAATTAGAAGTTGGATGGTGTTTAGTCCGTTGAACCCAAGCTCTTGGTTCTGACCTTTTCTACACTCTAAAGACGTGCAGTTCATCTCCATCTGCAAAATGAATGTCAAATCAGGAGCATCAAAATGAGCAATTCATTTCGCATATGAATGAACAAATGTACAGTTTAAGTGTTACTTAATGTCAACAATGACTGACACTATTCCTTGTGAAGGTTTTTATTGTCAACGTCAGCGTCAAAATAAAGAATATTCTAAATTGATTTGGGCATCATTTCGACATGCTATCATCTTTAGTGGTTGACAGAATCTAATTTTTAGAGATTGGTTATCAGAATAAAACCAAATTACACTTAGTTTATTGAATGCAGTATAAGTGACAGCATTCATTTATTGGTACTGGAACAGAGCAGTTCTAATTTCGCAAGATGTATGTATAAACATACGTTGCTTCGTGGAAAGAAAATCAGTGGAATCACGTACGTTCTCAGTTCATGGCATGAAATTATACTTTGAATTGACCCTTAGATTAATTCCTACCTCTAAACATCTTTAACCCGATATCCTGGTATGAATGAAGGCTTTTAGTCGAATGCTGACAGTGACAACCAGTGTGACTATAAGCTAACCCCAAATCAAATTTGGCTGAACCGAGGCCCGATTAAAACCAACTATGCCTGTGTTGTTCACTTTGAAGTTGCAAAATTACTGAGCAGTTTTTCAGTAATTCATGTGTATACACGTATTATTATCATATAGGCTTCATGTATTCCAGACTGTGTTGGGCAAATGAAACTGACTCGTGGCTTGCGTCTAGACAACGCTGCTGAATAAGCTGACAGGCTATTTTGAACTTGACAGTTATTCCTCTTAACTTCGCCTAGGTAACTAGTGAGCCGGTTACTGGTCGGTTCTAGGCCAGGACAAAAACGGAAGCTTGGGCATAGGGCTGGCAGCCGTACCCCGGAAAACCAATCCAACCGCTTAAGAAACTTCAAAGCAAAAAGAAAATATGAAACACGAAATTAAACTTATTCTTCGCTGGACTCGGCCAGATGAAATGACTCCGGTTGGTGAAAGCCTTCGCGAAGCCGATTCGCTGATGCGTCTTCTCTTCTCTCGACGAAATCAAAAGTAAGAATGGGGACATGGAACGTCCAAACAACGTTTGAAGCTGGCTAGCAAGGCTGCCCAGATTGCCGGAGAGATGAAAATGTATAGCATAGAAGTGCTAGGATTCTGCGAAAGCAGATCGAATGGAAGTGGACTCTGCAAACTGCCAGCCGGAGAGTCTATAATCTACTCCGGCCATCCAAACGACAACCACAGGCACACTGAGTTTTCGGGTGGCTGTCACCATATCCCCAAGAGCATCAAGGCTCTCACTCTTGTGGTGGGAACCAATCTCCTTCTGCAGGATCATGACAGCGAGATTCAACTCAAAAGGAAGGAAAGTCACAAGCACATGATGCTACGCTATGCACCTACAAATAATGGAGATCAACAGAAGGAGAAATTCTACAGACAACTGCAATAAGTACTGGACAAGACCACACCCCAGTTGGTGACATCAAAATCCTACTTGGTGGGGTGACATGAATGCCAAACTGGGATCAGAAAACACAGGAACAGAACTAATCATGGGTCGAGGAGCACTCAGTGAAATGAGCGAGAATAGAGAACTGTTTGCAGACTTCTGCGTATTCGACTGTTTGGTGATCGGAGGCACTTTTTACAAACACAAGGATATTCACAAGGCGATGTGGACTTCACCAGACACCGAGACACACTGGAAATCAGATCGTCTTCATCTCAATCTCAGGCAAGTGGAGACGCAGTCCACTGGATCAGACAACAAGATCAAGAAGGGAAGCAGGTGTAGGTGGTTCACACCACTCACCATCTAGTGCAAGTAACCTACCTACCTACCTTAAAATCAAATTGAAAGCCTTCAAACAAGTTGGTGGTAGACAGATCACAGTTCTAGTCGAAAAGCCAGAATAGACACCGAACTGAAGGACGAAACTACAAACTACATCTTCACGTCAGTCAGTCATCACAACAAAATACGAGACATTGAGCAACATCCCTGAAGTAGCCTGAGTCGAAGAACACTGGAACTCTTTGAAAGCTATGTGGAAGGAAACCTGCATAACCGTATTAGGAAGGGGGGAGAAGCGGCAAGACAAGGAATGGATCTCGACAGACACATGGAAGCTGATAGAAGAGGGAGAGAGAGGGGAAGATGGTGAGGCAGAAGATGAACCAGGGGAGTGCAGGGATGAACAACGAAAAGAGGAATTGAACGCAGCCCACGAACACTACACTGGACAAAGGAGTGAATAGGGATTCGCGCAAGGATAAAAGACACTTCTACGACGTTTGCAGGTGAAGCAGAATAGGCTGCAGGTAGGATAGACCTGACAACATCATATCAAACAACCAATATACTATCTGGGAAGAGACCAACAGAAATGTAACTAATGAAAGATAGTGAGGGAAACCCAGTTACCAAAAAGAAGAAACGAGGAAACAATGGGCTGATCACATCGGAAAACGTTTGAATCGACCACAATCTGTGACTCATTCAGAAATGCCACCAGCAGCCACAGGATCACAAGTGAAGACAAGCCATCTGACAAAAGCAGAAGTGAAGTCCTGAACGCCCTATATTCACTGAAATGCGGAAAAGTAGCAACACCAGATGGAGTTTCGCCAGAACTACTGAAAACAGACGCAGAGACAACAGCAGCAGACATGCTCACACCACCACTGCAGATGGTTTGCAAGGAAGGAAGGGAAGGTACCTGCCGATTGGAGGAAGGGCTGCCATGTCAAACTTCCAGAGAAGGGAGACCTAAGTCTTTGCATGAACCCCAGGCAAAATACTAAGCCGCATCATCCTGTAGGGACTAAAAGATGCTCTGGATTCAAAATTACGACCAAGACCGGCTGGGTTCAAGAGGTACAAGTTATGTGCGGACCGAATTGCGACACTACGCTACGCATCATCGTGGAACGGAGTATAGAATGGAAGTCAGCACTTCACCTTAACTCAACTTCATCTACTTTGAAAGGACCGACAAGTGATTTGGCAGGCAGCTGCTTCAACGCTACCGTTTAAGTGCCACAAACCTTTATCAACTGCATTCAACAGCAATGTGACGACGCCACATGTCAATTGATCCACAATGGAAAGCTCAGCAGCGCCTTTGAAGTGTAGAAAGGGTCAGGAGTCGGACAAGGCTGCCGCCTACTATCACCAATGATCTTACTGATTGCGGTTGACTGGACTGCACTGGATCATGCAAAAAACTGTAAAGAGCGAGAAGGTGGGCATACGCTCTCTGGACCGATGAAAAGAGCCTACAAGATCCGGATTTCGCCGCTGATGATGACTTATGCCTAATGTTGCACAAACTCGAATATCCATAGGCAAGACAAACAAGTTGATAGAAGAGACAGGGTAGCAAAGATGGGACTTCAGGTGAACGTAGCGAAGACAGAGGTGATGAAGATACCCAACCAACAATAACAAGCATCATTCGCCATGAACGGGAGAAACCTAAAGAAAGTAGTCGCTTTCACCTACACCTGCTTAGGCAAGGCAGAACCGTTTCAACTACAGGCGGCACAGATGAAGTCGTCAAAGCCAGGATCGGAGAAGCAAGACAGGCTTCCATTAATCTGAGACCAGTGTGGAGACCTACTGCACTCAGAATAAAGAACACGATCCGGGTCTTCAACGCCATTGTCAATTAAGTCGGTGCTTCTTTATGGTTCAGAAACCTGGCTCGTTACGGAAAGCATTTCCAAAAAACTACAGATATTTACCTACTGTCGTGGCATACGCTCACTTATCACTGGCGCTGAAGATCAGGTGGCCAGAAAGAATGAGCAGCGAGGAACTCTGGCCTGCCGATGAACCAACCAAGAACCTATCGCCCAACAAATACGCAGAAGAAAGTGGAGGTGGAGTGGACGCACACTGAGGAGACTGGTTACGGACATCAGGCGCCAGGCCAGGCCCTCAAGTGGAATCCAAGGGGAAGCGACGAGTTTGGCGTCCAAAGCAATCTGCAAGGTCTTTCCTGGGGGCAGTAGTGAAACTACAAATTGCGTTTCAGCATGCTCTGCTGGGAGCCTTCATGAGACAATCCTTGATGAGATGGTAATGTGTAACCATCTAATGACAATGATGTTTATGTATTTTTTTACTCAACATAGGTAAGGCGAAAACAAACCAGTTTACAGGCATGATCAGGGTGATAACATGAATTCATTTTTTGATTGCTACCGCCCAATACCTTAGAAATCCTTAGTTAAGGCATATAAAGACAAAGAGATATGATTTAACAGACAACAAAGGAAACATAGCCGTACACCAGCATAATTTTTCGGCAGTTCAATTCAAATTCAGTTCCGAACTAGGGGTTATTCAGCCATTGTTTGAATTACGAAATTTGCTTGAAGATACGGCGGGTGACACAGTGGTGACCAAGTTCTGGCGGCACTATATGCACTGAGAATTACGGTTGCTTAGATCACACACTAATGAGGAACTGATGAGTTGGACCTAAAAATGAATAACAAAGCGAGTAGTAGGTCAGGCTGAAATTTGAAGCACAGAAGGGTATTTGAGAGAGTAAATCAGTCATGAGATATATATATAGTGGGCGGTTAAATTCTGGCGCTACAAAAATCACCTGATGCAGTATTTCAAACAACCGGTTTGAGATCAGCTTATGTGGAAGAAGACATGGTTACGTGCAGAAGTAATGAACGTGAAGCTGTAGATGAGGATATGGCGATAGAATGAGGAGAATGGAGGATTTGGAACAAGACATGCACTTATGTACATAAAACCAATGTGCGCCGGCAAAATGAAGTTATAAGTATTGCAATAAAACTCGCTTGATATAGTCATGGTGAGATGGACCACCATGGTGTTGTCTGTTAAGCGTTATCATACCGGTGTAGTGCACCTTCCTGGCACCAAAATATAACTAGGGCTAAAATAAATAGTTTAAATTAAATTAACTAAATAAATCTCTAGCTTGCCTCCGGATGCTTAGGGTGTTTTAAGTTTTGTTTTAACGAGCATGCATCCGAGCAGGCTTGGACGCCATTTTTGCGCTCCATTGTGCTGATCACCACGCACGTACTCCGAGTCCCTAGTTCAGCCTTACAAGCCAGATAAGTTGATTAAACTTTTCCCTCATTCATTATTATAACATTTACCTTAAATACATAGCTCCTTTAAATACATTGCGTATCAGTTCTTTTGATTTGTGTTTTGTTACCAGTACTTACACGTTAGGTAAAGTACTGGTTAAGCAGGTACTAGAGCACATCAAATTAAGTAGGGTTGATCAATCGTTACGGAATTGTAACACGCATCCCTACAAAAATTGGTGAGCCCGAGTATCACTTCTTATTTTGTCTAGTACCTTTGTTCTCTTGCGTTGATTTGTCTGGCCTAATTTTGTTTTTGGCACGTCTAGCGTTTTTTTTTATATTATTGCACTCCTCATTGGTTATTTTTGCATTGTAATTTTTTTATTATCACTATCGTGCCTCGTTAATTCCCTGATCAATGGCGGATAACGACTCGACTGCGCAGATGGCCATAACCCTCCAGCTTCCCACCTTCTGGGCCCACA